CTCCCTCCCTCCCCCGTCTCCCACGTCTACTTTTCTCTGCTCATTCGGCCTTATCCTGCTGTGTAGCATGCACCTGCTTGGTGTACACACACACACACACACACACACACACAGCAGAAGGTTGAAGGGACACAGAGTAGAAATCCCTCAGAAAAGGACAAACATCAACTGTTATAAATGGAACATTTCTTTTTATTCCACATTTATTATCAGTTTTTTGTCTCCTTTTATGCTGTAACTTTTTTTTTGCCCATGTTTTTTTTTTACCTTTTGAAAACATCGTTTAGAATCTGTGAAGGTTCCATGATTTCTGCTCTTTGTTCTGAGTAGTTGTATTTAGTTAGCACACATGCTAACATGTACCAACTTGATAATAGTAAAGAAAGAGAAATCATTTTTAGTGACCATCTACAAAACCAAACGTTGGCCTTGTAAAACATCTCCCCCGCTGAGATGAGCATATATATATATTTAACACAACTGAACTATTTACTTTTTCATAAATAAAACATACAGCAGATAAAAGAGTCCAGTTCATACAGGACTCCAGGGACTCTCCTTCATGGATTCCAACAGTAAAATATTTTCATTCCCAGACGGAGGAAAAAAAGATCAAATATTACCAGCACACCCCCTCACCCCCCCACCCCCCCTACTCTGAGTGTGTGTGTAGCGGAGGCTTTCCTCATGTCAGACCATTAGCATCACACTCAGTCAGTGACATCCATTATTCATGCCACTCTGCTCTTCTCCACAGTCTGAACCCAGAGCCTCACAGAGGAGTGTGTTGTGATTCCAGCCTCACTCTGGGCCACAGACTCCAGGCAGCGTCTTCATGATTCTTCAGTCATTCCCTGAGATGTTTTTAGATTCCCTTCGTGCGTTTGTACCGTCTTTTATATTCTTCTAAATTACATTCCTTTATGGGAGGACTGCAGTGTAATCGTTTACTGTTGTGGTGCCAAACTCACTGTGACTACGGTCCAGCACTGACAAAGAGTTAACTGGAAAGACTGGATTTGAACCGACGTCAAACCTTTTTTTTTTTTTTTTTCAATAAATCAACAAATGAATGAATGAAATTCAAAACACAAACATGAAGAAATATAAGAATATTTTAACACAAACAACGAGACAGCTCTACTTTGATGTTTGACTCACAGAAGTGGAGAATGGACACAGCGTCCTTTTCCGCCAGTTGACATTTTGGGACATCAGTCCATCGAAAACCTTTGACATAGTGGATTTGACACTGAACTCTCTACATCGTCTCTGTGTTAGTCTCACAAGTCTTTGACCTTGACGAGACCTCCTCCCCACCCCCCCCCCGTCTCACCGTGCAGACACAGCGCCACCAGCTCCACCGGCGTCCTCAGAGGTGGAGCGACGGTGGATTAGCATTAGGAGAAGAAAAACACTGAACAAGACCCCAGGACACATTCCACTGTATTTACATCCAAACAGAGGGGGAGGGGGGGGTGGTCTGATGTCTTCAAAGTCTAACTAAGTAGTCAGCTACAGATATTTATAATTTCCTGAATGGAATCCACCACTAAAGGTCAGGTGACCTCCAATCCCACTGTCGGCATCAGCAGTGAATAACAAGTTGAACGCTAATCCACAACAAAGACCCGGTGGCGTTCGAATCCTTCTCCTCTGACCCGGTGAGTCCACTTTGTTTTCTTATATGAAGGAATTTCACCTCCAACCAACTTTACATCCAAACATGTGGCTGAATATCCTCTTTCTGTCTGTTGTGAAATGACGGAGTAGGAGAGAGAGAATATCCTCTTGCTGCGCCCAGAACCAGAACCAGGACCAGGACCAGAACCAACACCAACAGTCTCTGTGGACTGTGGCGCTCCGGTCCGGTCAGCAGCTCTTCAAAACCGCGGTCCTCACGCTGCACACGGTGGAGAAGAACTATCCCTGCCTTCATGTTCCACACATACACGCACACAGAAAATCCAATGTTCACCATCACTGGACAAGAGTGGAAAGGGGCGACATCGTGCGGCCGACCAGAGCAAGTGACGCAACAGGTGGAGAGTTTTTTTGTGTTTAAAGGCTTGTTGGTTTTTTTTTTTTGGTGTTTTTTTTTTTTTTTTTTTTAGAATTCCGCTCAATGTTTATTATTTAGCTGAGTTAAGCTAACGTCTTCACTTTCTTTCAGTTGTCTCTTCCTTGGCTAATGTTCCTAGCTAAATACAAATACAGCTGCTGCAGTTTGATGTTACATAGATCTATCCATAAATACTGTATCACTAAATTGACCGGGCATGACCAGTAGATGGCGATATTTCTTCTGCTATCCCGTCAGTGAACAAGCTGTTAAACGTAAACAATCTTTTCCGCCACGTGACAATGTATAAAAACATCCTAATACCAGTACCTAAAACATTGTACAGTGCTTTTTTATTTATAGACAACAAAACATCGGTACAGACGCGTGGAATGTTTTCGTTTGAATAAACGTATTTACTGGTGGCACTATGGTGGTACTATTTTATTTTGAAACGTCTTAAAGGAAGCGCTTGAGTAACGAGCTTGGTATTGTTTACCAACGTCACAGTAAAGCACAATACCAATAGGACCAAACAGCTGTTTCAACGGATTCTTTTTTTCTTTTTTTTTCCTGAACCAGGATGAAGATGTTGACGTTTTTGACTCGAAGCAGACATTTAGGAGTAAACTACGTCATTTATTCAGGTTAGCATCTTTGACTGGTCAGACCGAGCTTCACTATCTTTGTTAGCATCTCTCCCCCGTTCTGTTCTAGTTTGCGCTGTCGCTACAGCTAATGTTAATTAGCCTCAACCAACATCACTTCTTGTTTTGTAATAAACAGAAATATTGTAGCGCTACATCACACCGATACATACCATAATATACAGAAAAGAGGGTTGAATTTATAAAAATGTTATTTTAAAATTGAACTCTTTACCTGAGCAGTGAACTTCGGCGTAAGAAAGGTAAAGCACAGAACTTTGACCAAGTTTTTTGCCATGTTAATTTCAATGGTCAAACATATAAAAAGTTTTTACATTTGTCTTTCGTTCAGAGAATTCATTGTGATTTAGTTGTTATTTATTGAAAATGTTACTGTTTTAATGTGTGTTTTTATTGTTGTCTTTGTCTGTACCGTAAGTTGAAGGTGAAACAGTTCTGTTTATGTACAATGGCCAACAAAGCAGATCCTCCTCCTCCTCCTCCTCCTTCTTCTTCTTCTACTACTTTTCTCATCCCTTCAGTGAAGAATTGACTGTAGGTGTGTCAGACCTGCCCTCGTTACCACCGTTACCACCGTTACACCGTGCTCCTGCCTCCATGGCTGCTCCTGCCAGATTCCCTGTAATAGATGTTGACACGTCTGCTGCCAACTGGACCGGTGCAGAACTGGGGAGGCCTCTGTGTGTCAACGGGACACAGTGGATATTTTACCTGCTGGGGGAGTGTGTGGTTAACGTGTGGGAGTACAGCAGTGTGGTGATAGGATTCGTATCCGTGGTCTGTTTTCTGCTCTCCACTTTACCGTAAGTACTGTGTGTAGAGGCTGTTATACCTGTGGGTGTCAATCACCACTGACACCGTGTCTGTCTGGAACATTCAGCCAGGTCTGTGAGGCCTATCGTAATGGGAAAGTGGAGGAGGCCATGTCCTTTGGTTTCCTCTTCTTCCTCTTCAGTGGTGACGTGACCAGCTTCGCAGGCTGCTACCTCACCGGTCAGATGCCCATTCAGGTAAACACAGATTTTACTACACCTCCCTTTTCATCAATAACACACTGGCTTCTTGTGAGACAGCCTGAAAATTAAAAAAATAAATTCTACAGATATTTTCAAAAAGATAAATTAGTCAGTGAAAACCATTATGTTGATATCATGTCTGAAAGAAGAAAAGTAAATATGTAAAAATGTCAGGTCAGTCGTGAAGTTTACACACAATTTATTAACGTTTTATACATCTCTAATCACAGCAAAGTAAAAATACTCGTTCATGAAAACCTACTACTTAGTCCTACATGTACTGTCATCTGAACTCAGTCTTCATACTTGGCACCAAGTCATTTTTCTGTTCTGTTCCTTCAGGTAGTCGCCGTGGTGTTCTACATCTTCACAGACCTGATCCTCATCTCCCAGTTTCTCTACTACAAGATCAAAAACAGCTCCACCAAGAGTGAGACCACAGTACTGCACAGCACGAGTGAAGAATCAAGGAATGAGTGGACGATTAGAGTCGTAGCAATCGCACTGATTCCACCAGGAAGTGTTCCTGTTTCTGTCACCTGAGTTAATAAGAGATATTTATACACACATGGCTGCGTACACACACACACACACACACACAGAGAGTGACAGCGTGTCGGGGCCACTAAGTGTAGGAGAAGGATTATATACTTTTATTTTATTTTATTGGCAGCTGCTTTGGCGTCGGAGCTCGCGGCCTCCTCATGTCGTACCACTGAATGGATGCCAGCCCTCGGTTGAGCACTGGTTACTGGATGTTTCCACGAATCACGAGGAAAATCTTGCAATTGTTGCCGACTCGTAACTTACTTACTACTTGGAATACTTTTATTATCCCCTCGAGGCTCCACTGTATTTCTGTCCCAGACTGTACATGTCAGTCTCAGCTTTTATTAAGTCATTAATTACTGTTGCCTAAAGTAGGAGCTCATTTCCATTTGGCTCCACCTACATTTAGCTGCACTCAGCCGACCTCCTGTTCCTTTCAAGGTTTACTTGGGAGGTTTTATTGCTTGTTTTTAAGGTTTTAAATTGGTGGCCCGGTCTTTATTTATCTGAACTGTAAACATTCCTGTCCTGCTCTGATGCTGGAGGTTTAGGTGCTAACAGACGTTCCTTGATCTTGGCTTCAGAACAGGGACAGACGACTTGACTCCAGATCTCCATGGACTATTAATAAGTCGGTGCTCAAGTCCTATCTTTTTAATCACTGACTCCCGGCGTTTGTTCCCGACGTCTTCGGCGCCCCCTGCATGCATTGGTACTTATTATTACTTCTGCTTTGTTTGTTATTCTTCCCTGCCGTCTGAGACCGTAAAGCTCTTTGATCAGCTGTGGTTGTTTTTAGACGTGCCGTATAAATAAGGTGAGACAACATAGGTGCTGTTTATACATCTGTCAGCCCTGCATCGATCTGAAGTCAGCTGATGCAGAAAAGTCACCTCTGTCTGTCTGTCTGTCTATGTCTGTCTGTCTGTCTGTCTGTCTATCTGTCTGTCTGTGTGTGTCTGTCTGTCTGTGTGTCTGTCTGTCTGTTTGTTTGTCTGTCTGTCTGTCTGTGTCTGTCTGTCTGTCTGTCTGTATGTCTGTCTGTCTGTCTGTGTCTGTCTGTCTGTCTGTCTATCTGTCTGTCTGTGTGTGTCTGTGTGTGTGAACTCTCTGTTTGTTATTTTTATCTGTGTCTTTCAGAGACTCCTGTGTTGAAGTGGTTGTGCTTCACCTGGTGCGCTGCTGCTACGCTCGTCCTCCTGGTTTTATCCAAGCTCATCATACGTGATGGCTCCACCGTAGACTCTCAGGTTGATAAATGACTGTTATCACTGCTGGTGGTTCACCGTGGGTTTCTTCAGTGTTGTTTGTTGTCTGTTTTCCCCACAGAGTCCGGCGACCTCAGGGTCAGTGGAGGTGCCTGGTTATGTGTGTGGATACCTGGCGTCCATCTTCTACCTCAGCTCCCGTGTCCCCCAGCTCTATAAAAATGTAAGTAACCCGTTGTCCGACTGAGCTGAGATGTGGAGTCTGGTATCCAGTGTTGACTGATCTGCACCACGCTAAGACGGAACAGCTGCCTCAGCCCCCTCTGCTGGTCCCAAGGGGTCGGCTCAAATCAGTACTTATCACATGTCAGTGACTCAAGAAATTGGGACAGTAGTTGGAAGAAAGAAGTGGAGAGTGTGTGTGTGTGTGTGTGTGTGTGTGTGTGTGTGTGTGTGTGTTTAAAATGAGAGGCAGGCGTTGAAAAACAACAGTGCTGTTGTTCAGGGGAAACATCCCGGTGACGATCAGAGGGGAATTGGTCTCTGTAGGCTTCTACTAGTAAACCAATAAACACACACACACACACACACACACACGCTCTGACAAACATAAATCATCAGGTCGTATTTGCCCGGAGGAAACACCTGCGTGTTTGGACGTGCAGTAGTTATCATCCAAACTGCAGCTCTCTTCAACACAGTCATTGTTGCCAGGCAACATTTCAGAGTTTTGAGTGAGTGGCACCAGAAGTGCATAAAAATGTGTTCTTCCAATTGAACTTTTGTTCTTTCTTAGCTCTGTAGAGAATTAGTCTTTGTTCAAACTGACACGTTACAAAGAAAGGAGGACTTTAGTTGGATGGTGAAGGATGCAGGTTAACAGAGTCACACAAACGGAGGTTGGATAAAATAACACTAATAATAACAACTAATAATCCATTTACTTCCTGTTTCACATTTGTTCAGTTTCCTCTTGAAAGAGAAGATAATTACTTGTTTTTGTTTTGTTTTGAAAACCAAAGTTATCAGGAAGATAAAACTGCTGTTGACTTTCAAACCTGGCTGCACTGTAGTTCCAGAGGAAGTCGACAGAGGGCACGTCCTACCTGTTGTTTGCTCTGGCCATGATGGGCAACGGGACGTATGGGCTGAGTGTGATGGTAGTCCTGCCTGCACTGAGGGACTCCAAGACCAGGTTCATCATCAAACATCTGGCCTGGCTCATCAGCAGCTTCGGCGTCCTCGTACTTGACTTATTTGTATCCTTCGTGTGTCGGTGTCGTGTTGTTGTGGTTCTGCCGTGTTTCGGACCTTAACTCTCTCTCAGGTCACTGTCCAGTTCATCACATACAGGAGAAACAACTCATCTAACGAGAAGGCCCGACTCATCATGGCAGAGGGGAAACATCTGCTCTATGAAGAAGAAGAAGAAGAAGAAGAAGAACTCTGAGTGGGATGACACTCACCTGGACACAAAGTAGCACAAAAACATTCCTGTGATTGAAAACCTTCCGTGAGCTTTAATTCATACTTGAATTCAACCGTATTTTTACTTCGAGATCCTGACTGTGTGCTGTGAACCAGACCAACAAGTGCCTTTTATGACCTGTTTCTGACGGAGAACAAACAGGAACGACTGCTGCAGATTGTGGTCGTGAGTGTTTTGTTTTTCTCCGTTTGTGTGAACACAGTCTGAGGGGACAGAAGTTTGAATTTTGCTGGTGGTCTGAGGGGACAGAAGTTTGAATTTTGTTGTGAGAACATATTTATCTGCACAGACTGGTGCTATACATTGACTCAGAGTCAGGGAGAGTGTTGTGTTCAGGTACTCTGTCCTGAGGACACGTCCATGTTTTATCTCTGTCTCAACTTTCAGGAACGTCTTATAAATGCACTTTGTATCATTTTGAGGATGTTTTTTTAGTAACATATCATTTTGACTACTTTTATTCTCTGATGAAGTTATTTATTTAGTTCCATATTCAACGTTGCAGTGGACTCAACACTGACTCTCACTTTTGTCAAGACGTCCGTGAGATTTTTGTTGGATTTACAACAGCTGTAGCCACTCTTTATTATCTACCTCTTAATTATTAACCTGTTCTCTGCTGAACAGTCAGTGGTGTAATCAATGAACGACTGACATAAAGTCATCATTTCACTATTCAAACTTTGTCCCCCCTTGTGTTATGACTGATATATTTAAATTAAGACGTGTGGGATTCATTTTGTACAATGTGGTGAGAGGTTCTGGATTTTTAACTCCTGGTTCACTGATTCACATATGTCTCAGTAATAACAACCATGTACTGTAAAGCACAAATGTGAAATTACTGTTTGTTTCAACTAAATAAACAACGAAAACGATTTAAAGCTAAAGTTGTTTGGTTTTTTAAGTTGCTGCTCGTTTCGTTCGTTTAGAAACTACATTTTTATCATTAGCATCATTAGCTTTACAGTAGACACTTTCATAAAAGTTTACGTTTCAGTCACTGAAGTCTCCACCTCACCGAAACAGCGCCCTCTAGAGTCATCATGTCGAATCCTCCTTTGTCGTAGCTTTATCAGACCTGTCTTTACTTTTATAGTCACGAACCACGATGTTTTCAAATCAGTTCGTCTCACATTGAACCTGTTTTAGGAATATGTCTTTAATCGATGGTTCATAACCGATAAAAGACGAATTAAAGTGTAATTAAAAGAGAAGAAAAGGCGGGAGGAGGGGGTTTGAACAATGTTTTCGAACATTTGAAAAGTCTTCAGCCAATTCTTGGACTTATGGGTTCGTTGGCACAAACCAACTACTGAATTCTCTCTGTTTACGTTCCTGTCAGTTTTACGTGGAACACTTTACGACCAATCAGAGAACAGTATTCCATATGGAGGCGGTGTTATGTTGATTCTTACTTACTCGGGGGCGGGACTTCCGGTGTAGTTACCGTTGTATGGCAGCAGGCAGCTTCGGGGGTGACACGTATCTAAAGTTAAAGGTGGTACGGAGGCCGCACCGGGACTTAACTTTTTTTTATCTTTTACTTGTTTTTCACCTAAGTTTTTTGACTTGCTCCAAAAACTCTAACTGCAGGACGGAGACACGGGACTAAGAACGGCCGCTGCCAGTGTCGGTTTGTGCTGCGTTTCAGCTGCGGTTGAAGTCGAGCGTAAATCCTGAGAAGTTACACGGGGAAGTCGTTGAAGTGGCTGAGCTGAAATAATGTTACAAACATGGCTACGATAAGTCTTTAAGTCTGTTTTAGTCCGTGTGGATGTGGCCGTGGGGTGTGGAGAGGTGAAGTAAGTGGGAGTTCACCGCGAGGATACAAATAAAAGTGAAGTGGGAAGTTTCCCGCAGCAGAGACGGGGCATTCTCGCTCAGGCGTCGCGGAGGGGAGCGGGTCCAACATGGGTAACGGGGTGTGCTCCCGGAGACAGCGACGGATCTTCCAGTTCCTGCTGCTGCTCACGGTGGTCTGTGGGATGATGTACGGCGGGATGATGTCGTACGAGATGCACAAACAGCTGAAGAGGACGGAGGCGATGGCACTGAAGTACCAGCAGCACCAGGAGTCTCTGTCGGCTCAGCTCCAAGGTAAACACGGTCGAGTGAGTGAGAGAGACGTGATTGACTGGGCTCGAGTCTCCTCACGGAGGTGACAGCTCAGCGTCAAAACACCAGACTGCGCTCACAAAACGACTATTCGGCGGTTTTCTTCACCGCTGTCGGACGATAGTCCGCCGTGAATTATTCACGAGGCTTTAAATTATTTCAGCCGGAGTGGCTAATGAATATTTCAAGAGCACAGCGTTGTTTAAACTTGTGAACAATCACCGGTGTGTTAGGGTTCGTTAGTCTGTCTGACCTGAAGTGACTGTACCTACAGCAGGTGACCATTAGTTGACCTGTGACACGAACTGGCGTTCAGAATGATCTGGTGATAAATCAGGTGAAAGTCTGACGATTGTCCAGCAGGCAGAGACACCTCAACATCTGTGACGTCACAGCTGGGATCAGAGACGATGACCGACTGACACAAGAGGAGAACACGTGACACTGCAGAGGGTTAAAGGTTAAATGTGAACCCACTACAGTAGAGACCCAGTGTCAGGGTGAGTATTCAGGAATGTCCCTAAAACAGTCTATATATTTATAGATGACTGTTCTGTGTTGAGTGAAGATGAATAAATAAAAAA